TTAAAATATTAAAAATATTAAAATATTAAACATTGTTGTAATTTATATTTTGAATTCAAGTAACTCGAATAGTTACTTATTTTCTGTTTTCTTGTTCATTAAATAAAGAATCAAAAACGTTGACTGTAACTCGACGCAGGAGTTTCTATGATGAAAACTGATGTTAAGTCACACTCGACAAAGGAGTGCAAAGGGTTAATGGTAAAAAGAAGTACAGAAAATTTCGTATAGTAAAAAAGTATGAGGGTACTATCTAAAAAAAATTAATATCTGCCAAAATATTTAACTTTCAATTGGCATCTACAACAAATGTTCAAATGTTTCACAAACTTGTACTCGTTTAATTTCTCCTACAGAATTTAAAAAGAAATAGCATCTATACCAAACACTTTGTTACAACAGACAGCATGAAAGAGCGAATTAACCCATTAGCTGCCACGATCCCCATTTGGGGATTTTGGAATTTCACGTACACCACTCGGCGCCAAAAGTATATTTGGTACGCCTGACAGTTTAGTTTTATTCTATATATATCAGTCAATATTGTATGCAGCAAAAAGCGTGTATTCTGTGCTTCGTTTCTATACAACAAGCGAACAAATTTGAAATTCACGTGTAAGTTGAACGGAACAGAATTGTCATATTCGAAGCATTATATTTTTGCTTTGGTTTTTATATTATAATGAAATACCGTACATAAATATGTAATTTAGAGGTTATAGTAACGATTTGTTACTTACTCAGTCTTTTGTTTTTTATTGAAATGATTTTATCGATCATTTTATAACGATACCCATTTTGGGACTTTTTCAAAAATATCAAATATTTTCAAAACGAAACATAATTTGAATATAATTATACCGTTACACAACCTTTTGTGCATATATATAACTTATCCGGGCAAAAATTTCAAAAAAAGAAATTTGGCAGTTAATGGGTTAATAACAGTGGCTTAAATGTGCTTTATACTTAGAAGAAGAAGATAGCATTATTGCAAATAATAACCCAAGTATTAATCACAAGAGCAATCAGTATGCCTTCTATTAAAATGGTGGTCAATTTTCATATATCCACGAAAAGCTGTTAATATCCGTCCACCTATAAACACTCAAAAATAGAGTTAATAGAATTTATATTAAACTCTATTAACCCTTTGACTGCCACGCCGAAATCACATGTTTCCCTCAGCACGCCACGGGAGGGCACCACTAGATGCAAGATATGTTCTAATATGTTTTTGATGTTCTAGTAAAAAATTTTAATTGCTCAATGGGGCACTTTTTATTTCAAAGTATCTTCTAATTAGCGGTTATATTCAAAATGCACTAACTGTCAATTTTCATTCAATGTAGTTCAAGTAGTTCAAGCGCTCCGGTCACCAATGACCACCGTGGCGTCACAGAAGAAACCGTGGTCGGTCATATATGACCAACGTGGCAGTCAAAGTGTTAAGTAACTCGAGAACGTAACGAAAAATGTAAATATTGCGTGGGAAAATGTTTAGAATATAGTATTGCAACATTCGAACACTTGTAAATTTTAACCCTTTGCACTCGGCGATATTTTGGTTACAGAAACATAGTAATTCGAATACTTGCTGCCATAAAGTCGACGATATTTTCAAAACGGTAACTAAGAAGTGCAGATTAATTGTAAGACATAGAATTATTTTACCTCGATATTCCACGCGTCGTTGGACAATTTTAAATTTGAGATATTAATTAACAATGATCTCTAGAATTTGATTAAATGGTGACTGAGAGTCGCCTCTCGAGTGCAAAGGGTTAATAAAAGGATTTTCTATATATCACCTTCATATTTGTTTATGTAGAAGAGCACACGAAGAACACATACACTCGAATCGAGTGGGATTTCAATTTTATTATCGATGAAAACATAACGGAAAAGGTGTTTATTGCAAGGATTGTAATAAATGTCGTAAAATGCGAAAGAGTGCCTTTCGTGCGTAAGTGGCACGTGTTTTTCGCATAGTTATCTCGCGTAGACATCCGGGGTCTAGTTATAACGACATAAAAATTGGCGAAACTAACCTGCACTGCTCGAGCTATGGCAATAGTAACTGGCCTGGTAGGATCGAGTGCTTTCGTATGATGAGCAACTTGTTTGAAGTATTCACCAGCTTCCGGTAGTTGCGTCCTGGGTTCATTAGCGAGAGACCACATGATTACGGAAGGTCGATTTTTATCTCTTCTGATGAGTTCTGATAACGAATCTTTGTGTCGGGACAGGAGGATCGGCGAAAAATTTTCGGTGTCCACCGAGGGGCATTCGTCGATTATGAGGAAGCCTAACCTTTGAACAATAAACAAAGTAAAAAGCATATTAAAATCAAATTGGAGAAATGTAATTTATATTAGTTTCTTTATTAGATTTTATTTTTTAGATTCTCATAATCGGTGATTCTGAAAGTGGCCTAAGTCACGCATCTTTCGTTTCGAAATATTAGAAGCTTCGTGTTTTAAATATATTGGAAATTAATTATGATAAAGCTACGAATTTGATGTAACCGTTCAATTCTTTGCTATTTTGCCAAATATCCTATTTTAGCGAAATAATAAATTTTCTTAAAAATTAAATTAAAAAAAAAAAAAAACAACTTCGTCGCTTATTTTGGATTGCATTCGTTTCCATTGCAATAAAATAAAATATATTTGGTTCCCCTAATGGTGAAGGTATATAATTATAGGTGTCGCTACTCAATAATTTTTAATATATTTGCAATTGAAAATTTATTATTTAAGTTTTTCAATTGCAAATATCTTAAAAATTATTGAGTAGTGGCACCTATAATTATATAGTTTCACCATCAGGGGAATTAAATCTCCTATCTTATAAAATTTGAACTAAATCGATAATTCGAAGGCCTTGCAGTCTCCTTACTAGGTCACTTTCATAATATTTAAAACTTTAAAATAATAGCAGTACGAGGAAGAGATTTTTGAAGAACGTCTATCGTCAACGTTTTCTGCCATAAATTAGTGCAATATTTTCATGCACCTTATATCTTTATCCTTTTTTACCGAAGCGAGTCCTCGAATACGAGAAAAGTATAAAGAGTGAAATCATTCCTCAAAAACAGTAAAATATTTCTTCCATTTTCTTATATATTTCTATTGTTATATTTTATTTAATAATAATACGATATTTCGTTTAATAATAATAGACAATATTATAATAGTGATATAATAATATTATATTTAGTATCATATACAGCTAACAATAAGATCTTTTTTACATACGTACTGTATAAAAAAGAATCGGTATAAAAAGTGATAAAACAATTGATTTGCGAGAAAATTATATAAAATTTATGCCGAACTGCAACAAATAATAGAAAATATAATTTAAAATATAAAAGTGCGTTCGATAATCACATCTTTTATTATTAACTTTCCACGGGTTCAGAGTTAAAAGTAAACAAATGGCGTTAAACAAAATTGGCAAACACTAATGAAACACGTTTTAAAACTCGCCTTAACGAACAAAACGAATTAGAAACTCGGATAAAAATGTACAAAAGAAATACCGTAATCTTAAAATGGTGTATATTAATATTATTAGCAAATGCATAATTTCTTTTTAACGAAATTAAATATAAACACGATGTTATTCGACAACATGGTTTGTATGTTATAACACGAACGGTAGTAATAATTTTCTGCAATAAAATATATTTATGTTCAAGTGTACCTTTCAAAAGCGCCATTGAATGATTGACAATTTTTAGATTTAAAGGAAATGAAAGAATCTAAAGATTTAGATGAAAATAGATGGAAAATATAAAATTTTAGCTTCAGGCATTTATTAATTTTTGAAATATGTATTAATAAAATATTTTCTTCCGGTACTGTACACTGTACTTTACCTATATACCGGGTGTCTGATAACTGGTGGTACAACCGAGCAGAATTGATTCAACACCCAAAAATAAGTCGAAAAGGAAGAGTCAAATTTTTTCGTTTGAGGTTTTATTTTTCAGAAAAGCGAGGTTAAAGATTCGCGGGGTATGCATTCTTTTATCCAAATTTTCACGCTATAAATTTCTCTACAGACTGTATTTATTCTCGTCGATAAACATTTCTAGTATTTTTACATCTATATTAAGTAGATCGAATTGTAGAATAACGCGAAAGATAGTTTATATTAAAATTGATCAAATTTACACACACCCCACGAATTTTTAAATTCAATTTTCTCGAAAACGAAAACGATTTTTTCTCGTAAGAAAAAATTTCATTCTTCATTTTCGACTTATTTTTGGATGTACAATCACCTCCTGTGCGCTTATACCACCAGTTTTCAGACACCCTGTATATGTAGATGTTAGCGATACAACCGTCTTCGCGTAGTTACCGTCGTCAATTGTTAAGTAGCCAATGACGCAATAGCGAGAGTACACGAGTAGATGAGATTGCGGCCACCGTCAGGTTATCACTCGCGTCATTACGAGATTATGCAGATCTATAAGCATATGCAGAATTCAACGTACGTTATCGAGAATGTTTTATTAATATTTCAAAAATTAATAAATATTTGAAATCAACATTTTATATTTCATGTCTATATTCTTTTTTTGTTACTCTTACTTTCATTAGTCTGATAAGTTTGCAATGTAATATACTTTTAATTAT